CGGGGGAGGTGACGGGGGAGGTGACGGGGGAGGTGACGGGGGAGGTGGCGGGGGAGGGGGGGGGGGGGGTGAGGGGGGAGGTGACACACTTCCTGCGGTTGCAGGGAAAGGTACCGGGTGTGGTGGGGTTAGTGGGGAGTGTGGAGCAGACGAGGGAGTCGCAGAGAGAGCTGTGCCTACGAAAGGCAGATACGAGTGGGGAGGGAAATATCAATATTTTCTGAAGAAGGGTCTAGGCCCTAAATGTTAGCCTTCTTGCTCCTCTGATGCTGCTTGGCCTGCTGTGTTCATCCAGCTCTACACCTTGTTATCTCAGATTCTCCAGCATCTGCAGTTCCTACTATCAGGGAAATATCTCTTTGGTTGTGGGGTCGGATTGTAGGTAGTGCAAGTGGCGGAGAATGACACGCTGGATGCAAAGATTGGTGGGGTGATATGAGGAGACAAGGGAGATTCTGTCTTCATTTTTGTTGCGGGGGGAGGAAAGAGGGGTGTGGGGGCAGAACTGTGGGAAATGCAAGAGATGTGGTTGAGGGCATTTTCAATCACTGGACGGGGAAAATTACAAGGAAAGTAGGAGGACATCTTGGATGTGCAAGAGTGGAATGCCCCATCTTGGCAACAGATGCAGTGGAGACAGATGAATGGAGTAGGGGATTGCATTCTGGCAGGAGAGTGGGTGAGAGGAGGTGTAGTCCAGGTAGTTGCAGTCCAGGTAACTGCAAGGTCTCTTTCACCAGATCTCCAAGTGAGAATAAACAAGTGAGATATGTAGAGAGATTGCAGACACTTGTAGGAATAATAGAGTAATATTGGTTGGAGATTTTAATTACTCCGTGTTGACTGGGCCACCCAGAGTGTAAACGCCCAGATGGGGTGGAATTTGTCAAATGTGTCCAAGAAAGTTTCCTAAATCAATATTTAGAGGGCCCTACTCAGGAGGATGCAACACTGGGCCTCCTCTTAGGAAGTGAGGTAGGGCAAGTGACTGAAGTGTCAGTTGGAAAGCACTTTGGCTCCAGTGACCTTAACTCTGTTTTAACATAGTTATGGAAAAAGATATGACAGATCCGCATGTTAAGGTGCTGAACTGGAGCAGGGCCAATTTTGGGGCCATTAGGCATGATCTAGCAGAGGTCAATTTGAAGAAAAAGGAACGACTGCAAATGGGAGGCCTTTCAAAGTGTGATATCCAGTAATGTCCCTGTCAGGCTGAAGGGAAAAGCTGTCAGGTTTGGGGATCCCTGGATGACGAGAAATATTGAGGCTCTTGTCAGGAAAAAGGAAGCATTCATTGGGTTTAAGATGTCTGGCTTAGATAAACCTTTAGATGACTATAAAAAGTGTAGGAGCATACTTAAGAGGGAAATCAGAAGAGTAAAAAGAGGGCACAAGATGAATCTGGCAGATAATGTTATCTGAGGTTTTATAGCTATATTAAGAGTAAAAGGGTGGCTAGGGAGAGAATAGGTCCCCTTAAAGATCAGCATAACCATCTATGTATGGAGCCATAGGAGATGGGAGAGATTTTTAGTGAATATTTCTCCTCAGTGCTTACCTAAGGAGATAATCATGGATGCTAAGGAAATAAGGGAAACAAGTGGGGACGTTTTGGACTGCATACATATTACCAGAGAGGACGGGTTTGCAGCTTCAAAAGCGCATTAAGGTGGATAAATCCCCTTGGCTTGATCAAGTCCATCCTCGGATGATATGGGAGGCTAGGGAAGAAATTAGAGGCCCTTGCAGAGATTCTTGTGTCATCTTTAGCCGCTGGTGAAGTTCTGGAAGACTGGAGGGTGGTTAATGTTGTTCCACTGTTTAAGAAAGGTAGCAAGGACAAGCCAGGGGAACTACAGGGAAATTACTGGAGGGGATACTGAGGGACAGGATCAACCAATATTTGGACAGTCAAGGTCTGATATAGGATTTGAGACAAAAGCAAAGTTGCTGGAAAGGCAACTTTTCTGGCAACTTTGTTTCTGTTCCTGATTTACAGCATCCACAGTTCTTTCAGTTTTTATATAAGATTTGGGGTGTTATGTTACAGTTGTAAAAGTCATTGGTGAGGCTGCACTTGGAGTATTGTGTAAAGTTTTGGTCACCGTGTTATAGGAAAGACATAGTTAAACTGGAAAGTGTACAAAGAAGATATGAGGGTGTTGCTAGGACTAGTAGCCTGATTGAGGCGTATAAAATCATGAGGGGCATAGATAGGATGAACTGAAAACTAGAGGGCATAGGGTTTAAGATGAGAGGGGAAAGATTTAAGAAGGACTTGAGGGGCAGCTTCTTCACACAGAGTGGTGCGCCACATGGAATGGGCTGCCAGAGAAAGTGGTTGAAGTAGGCACAGTAGCAATGTTTAGAATCATTTGGATAGGTACATGGATGGGACGGGTTTAGAGGGATATAGATGAAATGCGGGCAATTGGAACTAGCTGAGTTGGCACCATGGTCAGCATGGACCACTTTGCGCTGAAGGACCCGTTTCCATGCTGTATTACTCTATGACTCTAATCCATACCAAATTATAAGAAATCCCGAGCTCTGGTTTTACGAAAACTGTCTGATGGAATTAAGTGACCGCTTTTTCCACCTTGACATCAAAATCTCTCTGCAAACTTTAGAAGGGGAAAAGTTACAATGAATTGTAGTTTATTACCTGGACCCTGTAACACATTGATGTTACAAGTGGAAGATCCAAGCCTTATATAGATTATATAATCAACACTGTACCTACCTCTTTAGAGTAAGGAACACCAACAGGGTGTTAAACTTCATTAAACTGATGCAATGTTAGCATCATACTGTCTAGATAGGGACTCTGGTACAGATTTCATATCTTATCATTCAGATTTTTTTTTCTAACGCTGCCTATTTTGGGGTTTGGGTTTATATCTCACACCATGTTACAATGGGGTAATCAAACTGATGGAAGGATTTCAAAGCTTTGACATTATAAAATGTTAGCCTCGCTTAACAGTCAAAATTCTGGGCAATTTTGCTCTTGGAACCATATCTTATAATACTATACTTCCTCAGAGTGCAGTTCTCTTCATGAAACCTCTCCCAGAACTGCAGTATAAAAGATTCCAATATAGAAACATAGGAAATAGGAGGAGTAAGCCATTCAGCCCTTTGAGTCTGCTCTGTCATTCAATACAATCTTGGGTGATCATCCAACTCAGTACTCCTATTCCCTCTGATCCCTGCATCTAACTCCTCTGAAAAACATTCGATATTTTGCTCTCAACCACTTTCTGTGGCAGAGAATTCGATAGGCTCACCACTCTGGGTGAAAAAATTTCTCCTCATCTCAGTCCTAAATGGTTTACCATGACTGTGACTCCTACTTCTGGAGTCCATCAGGAACATACTGCCTGCATCTACCCTGCGTAGCCCTATCAGAATTTTAAATGTTTCCGAGGTTCCTCTTGACCACCCACTCATTCTTCGAAACTTC